CTACACGGTTCGTGATCTTCAATCCCAAGTGCGCTGATACAACTTCTTAGGTAGTTGAATTTCCGAACGACTTCTAGTTGATCTCCATCAACGGTTAGCGTAGGAGGCGGTCCAGACCAATCTTGGAGGAACGCTTCGCCCTTCGAGGGTGCGAAGCAAAGCCCGAAGTGACGGACAGCTAGTGCTAATCTGTCCAGTGCCCCTTGGCACGTTTGTGAGCTGTCACAGATTAGGGCAATATCATCAGCATAATCTAAGTCAAGAAGTCGTTCTCCTGGGAGCAGATCCACACCTTCTAAGTCGTGTCCTGTAAGCGCGATTTACATGACTTCGGTAAAATGCATTAGATTGATTTGATCCCTAGCTAGATCGGACGCAGTTACAAGAAGCATTCGTAACTAAGTCTATAATTACCGGGGTGTTTCCCGTGAAGTGGTCATCGACAAGATGTAGTGCGCATGCATGCGCTTGTGACAGCATTGGTTGACGCTCACTTATATACCAATTTTTCTGACTCTGAGGTGCTCGCCAATAATGTTTCCATTAGCGTTTGACCAGTGGCCAGTCAAAAATATCCGCAAGCGTAGTGAAATCAGGTCATCAGGTGTATTACGCGGTACAAACAGGACGACGTTCACAGTCAGGATAGCGAGCAAAGTGTTTCAGGTTTCTTATTTTACAGACACTAACCGAAAATTACTGCCAACAAGAGGGGGCATACTTTATGAACTCGAAGTGATTGGAATAGCTGTGCGTCACAGACAAAAAATTGAGAGTAACGAGTTACGTAAAATAGACAAATTAAGAAGCTAAAAATAAACGTGTTACCCGGATAGACTACGCATCCGTGAGCCTCGCACAATGGAATTCATACGATGACAAGTACAACTGAGTCAGGTTGGGATTGCCGAAGCACCTGGTCTATTACACCTGTAGGCTATATTGCATAAGGTTGCTTGACCAGCGAAGCAACCTCTGATGGTCCGGCCAAGTGTTGCGTAGGCCAGCACACCGACTCCCGCGACGTGTGTTGTTTGCGTGCCGGAGGTGCGGTTGGAAAAGGAGGAAGGAGGCCAATCGACGATATAGTTAAAAGAAATGAAGACCCTAACTAAGAAGTTGGCTTCAGTTGGAGCCTCTCGGCTCCCTTGTTACGGCCCAAAAGACGATGAACACGATAGGCAGGATACACTTGTTCACAAGGCTAGGAGCCAACCTCAGTGGAGTTTATGTTGTGAGTTTCTTCGTCCCTCCCCATCCAACCATAACCTGATTCCTGAACCATAATATAACATTTTTGAGGGCACGACAACCGGCAGCTAACTCTCTGGAACGATATGCATCCGTTACCGACGACTCAGCTGGCGCGCCTGTGTTGCGTCTCTCTATTAATTTTCATGTGTATTGCGACATAATGGCTGAGGTTTCCCCACCTCTAGCTAACGTGAATATGAATGAAACGATCAGCAGGGTGGAGGTGGAAATAACTGACACGCCTGTGCTATTCGCAGCAACCATCTGACCACTCCGTAGGTTTCCCCAAGTGCGTAGATTCACTAAACGGATTTCCGATCGATCACAGATTCACGAACCCTAAGTCTTGAGTGGGTGATAAAGAAGACACGCCAAATTCTACGCAGCATTGCAAACAAGGGAGAAGCAAGTAAGAAGAGAGCAAACTGGAGCCGGAGTGCTTTTACTGGCCAAGTAAAGGGCGAACACAGGGTTCTACACCTCCTGTTTATAGCAAACCACATCTAGTAGCTTTATGCATGAGTCGTAGCGAATCGAATTGTAGCGTGGAACCGTGAGTTGTCACAATAGGGTGCACAGAGTCGGTGTGAGGGTGGGTGGATTCAATTAACGCGATTAGGTGTTTTGTGCATTGGAAACTGCATACACGGAGTCAGATGCGAACGTGTGCGCGAACAGTTGAATTCCCATAGCAGTCACTGCCACGGCTTGAGCGGCTTTATGGGAACACGTACAGTTCCATAACAATAACGTTTTCAAGAGAAACGTTCTGCCGCAGTATGATTGGGAGAAAACAGCTGTACCATGCGGCCATTTTGGTGGCTCTTCAATCTTGCACTGAAGCTGAATTAGAAAGCACGGTAAACAAGTGGTAGAGATTGATTAGGAGCTGATAGACCAGTAAGAAGTCACCCTGTGGACGCGGATACTGTCAACCTGGGTCCACAAATATCCTCAGGAGAAGTGGGAGTGCTTTAATGCTGAAAGTGGAAAAGTCAAACCATCTGAGTGTTTTCGGTTAGAGACCGACAATGTGGTGTCAAGTTTGCCTTGAAACATAGAACAAAGCTATGCTCTTACAGTGAGTTCTATAATAAACGAGACAAAAGCCAGCTGACTGATGTCAGATCTTAAATACGTTCATGCCAAACCTGGTTCAAGTTGATCTAGCATCAGCAGTACATACCGACACCTCGCTATCAGCAACTGTCAGTGATTACTTGCGGGCTTGTATACTGTGAGATCTGCAGTATATCTATGGTTGGCGGCATCCGGTTTCGGATTTGCCTGTCACTATGGCCTCCATAGGACAGCCACATAAGGCCTGCGCCTACAGAGGAACCATGGGTGGCTTGCCCTGCACCACCCACAGCTCTATCCACACACCATGTATCTAGCGTAAACCCGAAGGAATAAGACAGAAAGTCACGTTTCATCAACGGAGGGGGCTCACACTCCTTCAACATTCACAGCAGTAGCATTCCTGCCTATCTATGTAGGGAATCATGCGTACCAGACGTACACAAGGCGGTGACTTGGCCGTACCCCACTCCACACTGGATGCATGAACCACTGTTCGAGCCGAGCACGGCCACGAGGACCGTGCATCCCGTCCCACCAGCAACGATTCAGTCTCCTGGAGCCAGTAATCGAGGTGGATGGTGTTAGTTATAATCTTCTCATTAGGCGCGATACCGAAATAGGCCCTTTACTGCTCCACAAAACTTATAGCCCAACCGAAGGAAAAAGCAGAATGCCAAAGACCACAACAAAATAACGTGTTAACCACTGTCAACAAAACAATGTACAACTGCAACACACCTTGGTTGTGTTTATAGGTCTCTTACTGACCTACAACTTATGGAATAGGAAGGTCAACCGCCAAAATTAGTTGTTCCACGTAGATTTGGCCGATCTTCAGGAGGTTACTAGTCACTTGCAGGCACTGGAATAATCCAGAACTTTTGAAACCGATGCGGTAATCGATTAATCGCTGAAATAGGATTTCCCGGGGAATTCTCATCCTCTCCCGAACAGTGTTAGACTGGTAGGCACCTTGGCAACATTCACATAAAGCGCGGCCACATCGAGGATATCAAACAACCAACAGAATTTAAAGGAAAGCAAGCACGTAAAATCAGCACAGAATATGCATCAGAATAACAGAATTGAACAAACCAAATAAAGTACAGTGACTTTTATGCAGACGAGAAAGACCTAGATTAAGTGTAAATTGGCATAACCCAATTGCGGTGAAGAAACATCATGAATACAACATCAACCTCAGGATGAGGCAAAAGTTGGTCAAACATGGTTGGCGACATCCGGTTCCGGAATTGTCTGTCACTGTGGCTTCCACAGGACAGCCACAGGACGATCACTGGGACCGTAGCCGAAGCAGATGGGTATTGCCCGCTCGAAAACACTGCACAACCATGACACGTTTCCATCTGATTTGATCTTATCAAGTGAAGATAGCAGGCACTCGAATTGACCACTGCCGTCTTTACCTGATGAGGTCAAATAAGGTCGAAACACGTTGTGGAGTGTAGTGTTTTCGGGCGAGCAACACCCAGCATTCATCGGCTTCAGGAATTACAGTTCGAATGATCGAATTGATCATGCTTCACTTCAATGTGAATCGCGATCTACATTGAGATTGCGCGTCGCAGTCCATCCGTACGACCTGCACATCAAAATGACCCACCAATCAGTCATTGACCGTTGTGCCAAGCGTTACCTGTCGTGACCCACTAGCAATAGGGGTAGAAGTTTCGGCTAACATTCCAATGGTCGCGGGTTCGAGGCCTGCCATATCCACCTGATGAGATCAAAGAAGACAGAAACGTGTCGTGGTTGTGCAGTGTTTTCGAGGGGGGGGGGGCAAGACCCAATTTCCACCCGGTAATTCACTGCACAAACCTGCACTTATCTCCCCTTGACACCACCTGCTAGTGACGGGGATTTGAAACACCTCATCTTATCGCAAGGTGTCCATGCAGCATTGCGGGCAGCGCGCCTATAACTACAGATTATTTTTGTGGCGAAAATTTTCGGTATACAGAATCAAACACCATCGCACACAATAAAATGGGGCGAAACATGACAGAAAAGCACTTAACAGTCGATCTTTTGGTAGTCAGTTAATATAGGGATTTACGAGTTTGGATAAATTTGATATTGCAGTTATACTGTCGGCCAATAAATGTACGGGCTTATATTAGGCAATATACGGTAACTTAGTCAAATGAGGAACCTCATCATCCCAAGAACGTCGTTATTAATGGAAGTGAACGAACTATACATAGTTCGTGCACTTCTGCGAGTTAAAGGAATTATAATCCTTATTGAGTTGGCTGAATAAACTGTTTGCCCCTATAGGACAGACTATTGCGGTAGACAAGGTCGTCCTCGTAGGATTCGTTCGATTCACAATTTGTGGACGAGAAGCCTCCACTGAAAGACAGCACACGGTCCCGGACCTCCATCAGAAAACCGACGACTATTCGTAACTACACCCAATCTACTTAAACGCATAGTTTTTGGGAACACAAGTGCGTCGTTGCATGTAGTGCGTGTTCTTATCCTCATCAACAGTTTCACTTCAGTGTAGTCAGTCATCTCAATAAGCGCATAAAGCTTGCGAGGGGTTGACATCATGGACACGTGGTGCAAAAATAGTTGAGCAATGTACAGAAGCTAAGTGAAAACGTTTGCAGGCGCTGATCTATTAACAAAACACCTACCTTGTCGTATACACTATTCGGTTGAAGCATGACGTCACCGAATTTGTGACCCCAGGGTACAGTGTCCAGTAGGACAGGTGGCAACAACTGGGTGACTTCGTCCAGATAGTTCGGGGGCCTGGGGCCAGGAGGCAGAGATTGATTCTGTGGGCGATGAAACAGTTAACGAGTTGCATTAATAGGAGGTGACCTATCGAGTTTTTTTCATAAGGACAAAATGAAAAGGTTACACTTCGATTTCGTGTGACCGGGACACGCATATAGGTGGTCAATTAAATTCGGGCCGTAAGTCTGACCGGAATGCCGCTGAAATCATTAAACGAAAAAGAAAGGAAGCGCTTATTCCAAGTCAATAAAGTGATTAAACAGGTGGAATGTGAAATGATTTCATCAACTAAAGTGCGCATCATTCAACGCAACTCTGCGCATTTCGGTTGGTCCAGAAGAGGAAGGGTGTGGAACGCACATACAGACAATCAAATCTACCATACAGGCTGGAAATGTGAAAAATGTTTCACCTCCTAAAGCACTAGTATAAAGTGGTGTCGGAGCTCCTCATTGTTCTTCCATTTAACGAAAATTCCTTTCGTTCCATAAGATGATCAGAGTAAAGCAGTAAGGACAGGATATCGGAGATGATCATTCATCGATTCTTAAAAGATGCGACAAACTATGTAGGAATGTTCCCGAATAAAAATGCATGCCACTTTGCAGGTAAGATTCGGACAAACGTGTACCGATTTGGTTGGGATGAGGCATGCCTTGTCGATGCCCAGTCATGTCCAAATGCAACGTCTGGGCTGAGAACATTTCCACTGACTAGCACAGAGGACTGCGCCCAAACGTCAGCACACCAAAGTACACTGGTGGCTTCCATTTACACAGAATTCATGAGTAAACTAAAGTAGAGAAACCTCTAAAATGCTCCATGCAGTGGCGATGGAATCCACCTCATTGTGTTCAATCCGCGACAGCGACGCTCTGAAAGAGTTGCACGTGGTATCAGAGGTAAGCAAGCGGTTAACAAGATGAATAGACAGGGACAAGCACAAGCAATACGATGGTTGTTGCCACCTAGTAGAGAACATCGCATGGAGAAGCAGAGGTAACAAGAACTCAGGATGTGCCACCCAGAGAGTGTCCGCACTCCGTGCTTCTCAGTGCGGATTTGATTAGTGGATCGGTGTTTTGATGGTAGCAATTAGCTCCCTCCAGCATTGCGCACCGTAAGCCACGAAGTTCACCGGGTGGATAGACCATAGCTAATTCCAATTCCCCATCTATACCAGTCCCCGATGAAGTGCCTCTATAGCTTTTTACAGGCAATTTCAGGCATAGCGCTAACAAGGTAGCTTGTTAAAGAATTAAAAGCACCAGTTGTTCATTCAAGTTCACACGCGCATCAGTTCACTCTCTCACAGTGTGGCTACATGAGTGCACTATCAGTGACACCCTCACTGGTCATGGGACATTAGCCAATGGGACACCCCGGATGCAAGCACAGGGTAGATGTACGCGTCTATGAGGGACAGGTATGCCCCCGAGTAGGTCGACACATTGGTGTTAACGGAAGGCAGCCAGGGATGACAGCGTCAGTGCTAGAGGTCATCAACAGCACACCTGACTGAAGCTGGTCAACTTACGGTACGGCCGGTATGTTCCCATCTTTCCCCGCATTTGAGTCATGACCAGTACGCACTTAAGCGCATATAGAAAAGACCAGCGTCCGTAAGGCTCGTCCGGCTATCCCATAGGCAATTTATGTTGGATAGAAAAACTGCTAGCATGCCTGTGCCTGCGTTTGGGGGCAACATAATCGTGTGTGAAGCCATGGAGTTTGTTCTACCCCTTGCTGGCATGCATGGCTTCCACCGAGGGATGTGCATAGTGAGACCATATGAGCCGGTCGAAGAATCCACAGCTCCGGTCCAGCGCGGTATACAAATTTAATTTGGCAGTGAATGCCCACACAATCGCGTGGGAGCAATGGACTCCGCTGGATGCGTTACTGTGTTTGCATGACATGCATGCGTGCAACTGCTACCTCAAATGCGACGGCCAGCCATGGGTCCATGCACGAGGGGCAGGCAGACGGATGATCGATAGATTCTAATCTGTGTTGCCCACAAAATTTTACGGTAGGCCGACATAAACGATGACATTCTTGGTCGCTGTCTCAGAGAGGGAAAATGAGCATACACTGACGTCAATGGGGTTACCGCAACCCGAATCCAGTTACGTGACTGATGATTAGAGTGTTCTTATTATTCGTCTGTATGGTAAGTGTGGGTTAAACGAGGCAGCGACGGCACGAAAGTACAATAATATCAACCCTAGGATGCGGCCCGTCAACGGCTGTTACGTTGGGGAATTGATGAAAAAGTTTCACAAAACTGGTGGTACGTGCAATTCCAAAAAATCCGGGCGGCCTCGCACCAGCACGGACAATTTAGTATCAGGCATTGTCGTACGCGAAGTACCTGAAAACTACGAGCTCAACGTACGTAGAATCGCGCAGCGTTGCAGCACAACGCGATAGGCTGTTCAGAGGATTTTAAAAGAAAAAAACTTCCGGTTTCGGGCACTTCAGGTTCAGGAGTTAAACCCAAACGATTCAGCTAAACGAAGTGAATTTTGCTGTTGGGTTTTGGAACACATGAGTATACACTCCATCATTTTCACAGACGAATCGATTTTCCATTTGTATTGAACAGACAAACAGCAATTATGGGCTAGATCTAATCCCCGAGTATACACTGCGCCAGGATACAACCTGGTGCGAGGCTCATGGTTTGGGGTGGATTAACTGGTCAGAAAACAGCTGAACCAATATTTTTTCCAGGGACATGACCGTTGTTTTTCATTAATTAACGCTTATCTTGCGCAGCAGTCGTATAAGGAAATGACCCACACATGTATACTTCCACAGTTGGAGGGAGACAAGTGCCCCGTATCATTTGGTGGTAACATGAGGGTGAACCAGCTTATTGCGCTCAATCGGTGCGGGAATATCTCAGCGAAACATAAGACCAACGTTGGATCGGTCGCAGAGAATCAATTGAGTGACCTGCACCGTCACGCGATATAAACCCCCTGGATTTCTTTCTGTGGAACAATTTGGAACGAAGGGTATGCATCGTCATTATCATTAGTATACACGTTAGCTGCAGGTAGCAAACATCTCAATAGAAAAAAAACACAGAGGCACGTTGCCTGAGTCTCCAGTAACGAATGGACATCGTCCCGGAGAGCTAAAAACCGACTATCGTGCCGCAAAAAGAGTATGCCAAGCAAAGGAGATCGTGATTGGAGGAGGAGGCTAAGCAGGAGTGGGATGGACAAAGGAACTCACAACACAAATGCCATTGGGGCCGGCTCCTAGCCATATCAGAAAGTGTGTCCAACCAAACGTGACCATCCTCCTTAGGACCCCAACCAGGCAGTCGGTAAGCACCAACCGACGCCAACTTCGAAGTGAGGGTCTTCACTTTTCTTGACCAAGTCATCGATTAGCCTCCACACTTATTCTCCAAACCCCACCCCCGGCGCGCAAACGACACACGTCGCGGAAGCCGGGGTGCTGGGATGCGCAACACGTGGCCCAGCGATCGGAACCTGGTGCCTGATATAATGGTGCTGAGCGGTACACTCGCTCTGCCGACACCAAATACACGACGTCGAACACGCTCATTGCTCACCAGACATGAGCAAAGCTGGGAAGGCAACGATGATCGAAGGTGGCTAGCCTATTTATGTCTGTCGACCTGATGGGTCAGGTCTCACAACCGTATATGAGGGTTGAACGGATGGCTGCATTCTACACTCTACCCCTCAGACCTAGAGTGATGTCGCGTCTGCGCCACAGGTGGTGGAGATTGGCAAAAGCACCTCGAGCTTTTGCTATACGGTTCGTAATCTTAGCTTCGATCCCACAGGCGCTAATATAGCTGCCCAGGTACTTGAATTCCTGATCGACTTCTATCTGATCACCACCAAGGGTCAGAACAGGGGTGGGTCCTTGCCAATCTTAGAGAACTTTGAACTTCAATGGAGCAAAGCATAGTCCAAAACGATTGGTAACCAGTGCTAATCAGTCAATTGCAGCCTGGCAGGTTTGGGCGCTGCCACATATGAGAGCAATGTCGTCCGCATACTCCAAGTAAAGAAATCACTCACCATGAAGTAGCTCCACACCTTGTAGGTCGTGTCCAGCGAAAGGTATTTAAATGACTTCACCAATGGTGAGGTTAAAGAGGAAAGGTGACAGCGGGTAACCTTGTCTCATACTGCTGGAAATATTGAAGGACGGCGACAGTTTGCCATAATCCGTCACTCTGCCCGAACTATGTGCGTACAGCGCTTTGATAATATTTACATATTTATCGGATACACCATTTCTCAGCAGAAAGTCCCAAAGGGCACATCGATCCACGAAATCGAAGGCACCTTTGATGTCGCGAAAAACGACAACGGTGGATCACCAATCAATATGGTGGTGCTCCAACAATTGACATAAAGTGAAGATGTGGTCGATGGAGCCTCGATTTCGACGAAATCCGGCTTGCTCTTCACGGATATGGGCTTCACGAACGCCAGTCAGTCTGTGGAGAACGACAGATGCAAATAATTTAGAGACAATTGAGATCAGACTGATCCCTCTCTATGGTTGTCGCATTCCGAACGGGAGCCTCCCTTGAAAATTGGGACTATGACGGAGCGGCTCCAATCTGTCGGGACAGTTTCCTGCTCCCAAAGTTCCATTAGCAACTCGTGTAAATCATCCACAAGAGCAGGTCCCCCGAATTTGTAGAGAGCTGGGGGAATTCTATCTGCACCAGCGGCCTTATGCAATTTCAACAGTCTGATCTCACGTTCGACTTCTGCGCGTGAGGGCGGATCTAAGGAGACGGCCCATGGAGAAGGGCACTCAATGCCCGAAAGAGAAAGCGATAACTCAGATTGGTTAAACTGCCTTGCAAAGTGTTCGGCCCAACGCTCCAAGCGTTTTGACAAGCTGTGGATCGGCTGTCCACTCTCGTCGCGTATTGTCTCGCTAACACCAGGTCTCCTGCTGCCTGTTTCCCGTATCAGACGGAATAACTTACGATGATTACCAACGGCAGCGGCTGTTTCCATTTCCGATG